TTCAGAATCATCACCTGGTTTGAAAATGGCTCTTCTATAATACTTCACTTCATCCACGTCCCCACAGAACTTCTAAAGCTAAGATAAACAGGCCTCCAGTCATATAAAATTAGATTAGTGATTTTAAAAGAGAACCTGTGACCTGGTAGACTTGCAACTTAGAGGGGCACAAAGACACAAATTAATTTAGAGCTGAACAATGTTGAATTTATAGACATGGGTTTAATTTACATTCAATCTAATGTCATAAAATCTGATTTACAAAGAGCATTTATCTTCCAACAATATACAAGGACTGCTTACAAAAAGGAGTGGTTCAAATGTTTTTTCATAAGAGATTGACAAAAATCACAGCTTTGAATTCATGGACGAATTACAAATGATTTCCATCTTTCTTTAAAGCAGGCCCAGGAGATGGATTATGCAGTAATATTCTTTAGTAATCACTGGCTATATCATTATATATATATGTGTGTGTGTGTGTGTGTGTGTGTATATATATATATATATATATATATATATATATATATATATAACACTTTAAAGTATAACTTTGACTTTTCATTAATTCAGGCCTACCTTGGCCTACAATTATTAATTGTTTTAAAAGGACTGAGCTAATTAGATTTTCCTTACATCCCATTAACTAACAATATGCCTTATACAATCTTACTTGAGCCATCACAACATGACCAAGCACTGTACACTCTTGCTCAATGAATCCTCATTTCACAGACAGGGAAAGTAAGACTCAAAGAGGGTAAGTCATTTGCCCCAAAGCTCATGTGGTAAAAGGCAGAGCAAAGATGCAAGACTTGGTGATACAACTCTAAAGCCAGTGTGTTTAACCGCTATGCTGCAGAAATGCCGTTACCTACCCCTATTTGTGGCCAAAAAAAAAAAAAACCCAAAAAACAAACACTGTCAAACATAAATTCAATCTCAATGACTCAGAACTTGACAAAGAACCTCCACAGCCTCCTCGTGGAGGGCACAGAGCACAGTAGTAACATGTGTTCCAAGCACGTTTCTCTGGTCACTGTCTGGGAAATCCAGAGAAGGGGACCCTTGAGGTAATTTCCAATGAACCCCAGGGGATGGGGCAAAGACTTAATGCACAGATACATTAGATGAGTAAAACTCTATTTTTTGAAGCACTTGTACATTCCTGAGCGGATTGAAAGCCAGCACCCTGTAGGAAGGTGGATGGTGGGTTGTCCCTGTGTGAGGGATGAGGAGACTAAGTGACATCTCAGAGTTACTGTGTGACACTGGTTGGACCGAAACCCAGGTCTCCTAGTTCCCTTCTCACCTACCAGTCCCTCCTTGGGGCCTGGACCCCAGCTCTGGGGACCATGCTGGCTCATGGCAGGTGTGCCCAGCACCAGGCGGGTCCTGCGGGTGCAGAACAGAGCCCACTGCCTATGGCGCCCTTTCCCCTGGGAGTCTGGCAATGATGCCAGAGAAACAAAGCACCAAAGCACCAACGCGCTCTCTTATTTTGTCTATTTACCAACAAACACCTCAACAGACACAAGGAGTTAAATGAACAATTTTAAAAGTGAAAAAATCACGAAGCTTCTAAAAAGCCAGCACAGTGGCTGACGTGGCCTGCCTGAATTGTAGATTTAACTGAGACATGCTTTCTAGTCACTGGTCATAACAGGCCCATCTCCTCAATGACAACTTAATGTGAAGCTGCCACGTAAGCTAGACAGCTCGGCTCCTCCTGCGGCTCCCTGTCCTCAGAGGCCAAGGTCTTCGTCTGCTCAGGCCTGGCTACAGGGGGTGCAGTTTGCAAACTTCGTACTCACCTTGAGGAAAAGGGTCTGCTGTGAAACCAAAGATGTTTCCAAAGCATCAATCTTAGAATATGCTTTCAAAATGCACCAGCCACAAATCAAGTGGCAGATTAAAATCTGTTCAAGAATAAATAGGATGGCCTGGCCACGCCAAATCTGAGATGGAGCCAAGGAGCAGAAACAAATACTTCCCCGTGGTCAACAGGCTTAAAGACACACATCATCATTTCATGATTCTGCATCAGAAAGCCACAGCAGGGTCTTAACTTCTTACACTAGGAGTCTTTTCAGTGTTTTTGGGATTCCGTTTGTATTGGTCTTATGGCCCTGAGGGGCTTTGCAATGTAAGTTGTCTTCCTTTTAAGGTTTACATCCTGCTGGTGTTGTCATCTCTGTAAAAATTATGAAGAAGAACCCTAAGTCTAAAACGAAAAGTATTTTGAATTTGCTTGAACAAGATGAATATAAGGCACCCATTTTGATTTCCGGTTGCCTTGGGGGAAAGCCAAGGGGAGGTGGCTGGCAGAGAGCTGCAGGTCACGGTTAGGGCAGGTGGGAGCCTGCCAGCTCCTCGTGTGTTTCCCTGACAGATGCCTTATCATCTTCCAAGACCCACTGACAGCCCTCGGTCCACACCTCTCCTCTAGCTCTGCCCGCCTGCACTGCTTAACGCTAGTCTCCCCGCCAGACAGTGAATGTCTGAACACCGGGCCTCTGTCTGTTGCTCAGACATCCTGGCACCCCTGGCCTCTGGCCCGGAGCCGGGCACTCAGCGGAACTCAGGAGACGCTGGCCAAATGAGCCAACAGGCTGACAGGCTCTGCTCTGCAGACGTGGTTCTCACCTCCCACAAAAGGCCCCCCAGCATCTCCTACCCAAGTGGCTTCCGGTGGAGTAGAGTCCGTATGCAGCCCACGGACACACGCACCCACGGGGGAAGTCACTAGCGAGTCTTAGGTTTTATTTTAAAATGTATACATCATTTGCCTTCTCCTTCAGAAGGGATCTAGTTTTGTTTTGATACAAAAATGTTTTTTAAGTTATTTTCAATTAAATCCCCCCCCCCCCCCCAAATACAGTTGGGTAAACTGGTTGTTCCATTGTTTTATCCCCAGTCTGGGTACCCCACCGTGGGGTGCATATTTAATGCCCACCTTTCTCACGAGGAGCCCCTCCTCCCAGCTTTTCCTCTTTTCTTTTTTAAGCAGCTTCCCCGTGCCAGGGCGCTGGGCCGCTCCTCGGAGCTCGGAGATAAGGCACGTCCCCGGCGCTGTTGAAACTAGCGGTTTCCATGGCCTCAGTCAGTTTGGTTGGGTTTAGGAGACATGAGGCGCCAAGGAAGTCACAACAGAATTGCTGTTGACCTTGGATTGGCTGCTCCCGCGGCAGAGTCAAGCACGATGCTGTTTCTCCAGGGGTAATTTCCACCCTCAAACCCCACCACCAGCCTGAGCCACAGAGGTTCACTAGGAGGAGGGCACTTTAAAGGTGTAAGTGAAAGAGCATGAAGCTTGGGGAGCCACTTCTCTGTAAAAGGAAGCTTTGCTATGGGTGGGGGGGAAGGGGGTCCAGGGCATGTTTCCACCCCCCAACTCAGTCCCAGCCCCCCAGCTCCCCCTCCAGCCCCCCCAGCTCCTCTCACTGGGAGGCATGCTGCTGGGGCTGCTGGGCCCTAGGTAGGCCTTCATGTATGACACTGACCCCCTGGGTCAAGGAGAATTCCAAATCCTTACCCCCTGCAAACAGGCAGGCAGGCGGGAGGGAGGTGGGGAGGGAAGCAGAGATGGACAGCTGGCTCGGCTTTCTGCTCTGAGAAAAAGGCGACAGAGGTCTCTCCACTGACTCGGCGTTACATGAAGACATCATTTGCCCAAGACACAAGCCCCGCAAGCTCCAAAAATGGGAGATAAAGGGAGTGACAAGAGGAAGATAAACGCATTCGGAAGCAAATCCATCAGCAGCATTTCCTGAGGACGTCTGCACTCAGTGAGTAACACAGTTCCCTGGGAGGTGGAACTGGGCCTCCAGCAGCACCCAGCACCCCCTGCAGGCCCCCAACAGTTACATTCCCCTCCCCCCCAACCGTTGGAGCCACTTCTGAGAGAGCCTCGACAGTTCCGGGTCCCTTCCCTGGGGTACTTACTCCCCTTTTGGGGTGCCTGCAGGACAGGGAGGTGGCATAGCTGCCCTGAGGTAGGGCAGAGCCCAGAGACACCCAAGTCCCAGTCTCCCCTGAGCCAGTTTCCTCTGAGCCCTCTCTATAGAAGGTAAGTAAAATGAAATTCCAAAAACAGTGATGGAGGGACAAGGACCATGATAAGACCAAAAAACATGTATGTGCAGCCCTGGCCAGTTTTGCTCACTAGTTAGAGCATCAGCCCACAAACCAAAGGGTCATGGATTCGATTCCCAGTCAAGGGCACATACCTGGGTTGCAGATTCAATCCTCACCCTCCACCCCCCAGTTGGGGTGGGTACAAAAGGCAACCAATGAATATTTCTTTCCCTCTCTTTCCCTCCCTTCCTGGAAAAAAAAAAAAAAAAAAAAAAAAAAAAAAGGAAAAATATCCTCAGGTAAGTATTAACAAAACAAAAATGCATGTGCAAAAGCTGATCATTACTCGATATTAAAGAAAGATTCTACTAATTAAGATTAAAGATGAATTAGAGGGAAAATTCTCCCAGTGACAGCAGCAGAAAACCAAGCTGATCAACAATCCTGAGAGAAGGATGTTAAGATTCTGAAATTTGTCCAGTATTTATATGCTAACCTAGGCTTATTTCTCCTTCACAATGAAATCTAAAACACCCTGGAAATATGCATGATTACTTCAAAGGGGAAGGTTATGCACCAATGGGAATAAAACTACAAAAGACGCCCTTTCCTGTGGGGAGACCAAGGTCAGGACTCCTTTTCCTCACTGGTAATCCACTTCTGCACTTCAGCAAATTAATGCAACTGGCTTCAGGGAAATGTTCTCATTAAATTAATAGTGTTTGGCAAGCATCAGAAACACAGAACCCCACAGACAGATAGATACAGGCAGGAAGAATCACAGTTCAATCCAAAAGCCACACACGGAGGAAACATCAGAGTCCACACGCATGCAGGGGAGCCTCGGGGGCGACGGGGGTGACACACACAGCCGCCCCCGCACACGAGGCAGCAGAATGGGCAACATGAATCCAACTGCTTACCCACTAAGGACACCAAGAACCAGGTTAAGGACGAAAAATGAGCCAAGGATTATCAGACTAACAAAATACACCCATGGCCATTCCCATCCTATCGCATCATTTACCTGTAAAATGTAAGGAAATCAGTTATCAGTTATCTATTTACTAAAGAGCGGAGCCCCAGGAGAAGCTGCCAGACCACGTGGGGCTTTGGTGGAAGATTAGTGCCCCTGGGGCGGGACCCCACCCAGGGCCATCCGTTTTTTATTTTTTATTTTGTCTTCACATAAGGATAAGTTCTGCTGTGGAAGTCTGGGCCTACAAAAAGTCTGCTGGGACCAGCTCATTTAGCGACTGTTTTGTACCAATTCATCTGCATTACATTTGGATCCAGACCAGTAAAGCAATTATAAATGTGTCTCATTTTAGGACAGACAAAAGGGCAAGCAATGGAAAGTATTTAAGTCCCAAGCAACAGTGCTGATTAGCTCCTGGTCAATAACTATCCTATCGCTTCCTCTCATGAAGGCTGGTGGGGTTCCAGGAACCGCCGTGACTTGGGAAGGCTGGGCAGAGGAAGAGCATCTTGGAGGACATGCGAGGCCTGGCACCCACCCACCCGCGGCCCCATCTAGCAAAGCCTGTGTGGTCTTGGCAACTGTCCTCGGGGCTCTGCTTTCAAGATGAAAGAGGTGTAGCTTACCCGCTCAATACACCAAGTACAAGATTTAGTACGAAAAATGACCCAAAGATGACGAGACTGACAAAATACACCCAGGGCAATTCAAATCCCATAGCATCATTCATCTGTAAGAAACAAGATGGTCTCATAGGGGAAGGTTAATAAGGGAATACAGTCAGGAGAGAGGGTCACATTAGAGACAGCATTTTATACATTTAATGAAAACATTTACTTAGATTCAAATCAGAGACAACAGTAGCCAATACATATTCATTATATCACACACACACACACACACACACACACACACACACACACACACACACACACACAGTCATCAAAGCTTTAAGGGTAAATGAGAGCCTACTTCGGCCACCGGCAGGGCAATCCTCTGGGATTTGGCTTTTCTTCCCAGGAAGCTGCCACCATTTGGGATTTCCTGAAAGGATCGTGGTAGAGGACAAAACTCTTGCTTTGCTGAAAATTAGTTCCTCCTCTAAGTTCTTAGTGCTTTTTTTTTTTGCTTTTGAAATTTGGGATGGTGGAAAAGTCTTAGTTATAGAGACAAACTGGCAACATTTGACTTTATAAATTATATTCTTTAAAAAAAGCTAAAATAATAACTTTCCATTGGGAGCTAACCTCTCCAAGGAAACCTAACCCGCCCTAATTCTGGATGGCCCTCAGTCAGTAAGCCAAGCACGGCTAAATGCAAAGAAGACCAGAGCTCAGAAGTCAGCGTGCTGACCTCCTCCAGGTGCTCTGGGGAATGAGATTTTCATGCCTGCACCACAGGAAGGACCCAGGAGAAGGAGAGCACTATCCCCCACACCTACCCTGGAGGACCCAGCCTAGAAACCTGTGGATAAAGCTTTCTCTAGAGGAACCCCTTGCCCCACTGTGGGACAAGCTTCTGTGGGACAGTCAGACATGGCCTTCCCAACAGATACCCCCAGGAGGGTTTGGTCATGAGCAGTTTTCCTGCTGGAGCAAACAGGCGCTTTAAGGTTCACGGCCAGATGGGATTTTCCAACAGCAAAGGTCAGTGTTAACTTAGGCAAATGCTTCTCCCAGGAAGGAGATGCTAAGAACCAGTTGGGGACAACAGGAATGGCCCCGGGCCCGACTTTGCTAGAATACCCAGCATCTCCAGCTGACAGAACGGTACCTAGTCTGGGCCGATTCGTGGCTCTGGCCCTGCAAGTGCAGGCACCTCAGCCTTTACACATGTGCTTTCCTCCACGCTATGTGGCTCCGGGCTTCAGCTTTACAGAATGAGGCTCATGCATCTTACTGTTTGCCTCACACAGAAGCCAAACAGGAAAAGAGAACATTAAAAAAAAAATTACCTAGCATCTGTTACTGAAGTCTAGGGAAAGGGCATTAAGTCCCTTATGAAACACCTGTTTGGCCACATGAAAACTGATGTGCTTAATAGAACTCATATCAGTCTGCACATCTTACATTGGCAATTAGAGTAATGAATGAGCCAGGGCCATGGCTGCAACTGTTGATCTAATTAAGCTGGATAAACTAGTTTCAGCAGGAAGGCAGAGGATAATTCTTCCAAAGCAACTCGCCACCAAACTTATTTAAAAACCCACGTGTGGAGGACAAGAAAACAGGCTGCTTGGGGTAGTGGCCAGAGCCCAGCCTGGAAGCAGGACCTTCCATAGGGACCTCTCTGGGCCTGTCTCCTCTCTGTTGGAACAGGAGTCTGCATGACAGGAGAGAGCATGTTCACAGGATGGGAGAGAGCTGTCCAAAGCCCAGGATTCCCATCAGGAGACCTCGCTTTTCAACAACTCTGGCCAAGTCAGTGGGACTGAGCCCTCGACTTCACCCCCTCATTTGGGCCTCAGTTTTGCGTTGTCTGCTCCATCTGAGAGAAAACTTCTATTTTTAAGGAAAGACCTTTATGATTTCTTAGGAGTGTTTGACAGATTCAGATTTGCTCAAATCAGAAATATCACTTAGAATGATCACTGGAGGCTGGGGGCAAGGCTAAATCTACACAAAGGCCATAGGAGACCCTAATCCCCAGACATCGGGGAAGAGAGGCAGAGCTCAAGCTTTGAGGGCAATCTTTCTCCTGACTAAACCTTCTCAACCCAGTCTCTTCTCAGAGGCTAGTGTTTCCCAGGCCTTATATACACAGGACAAATCAGAAGTGGCAAGCTGTTCCCCAAAATACCCACATGAAAATAGAGACACTAGTTGGGATTTTGTCTGCAAGGTCTTTATCCACAATGGGGAAATGGGTATGAGCTGAAGCATTTCAATTTAGATTGCTTTTTGAAATATTTATCTCAGAGTTATCATGTGGAGCCACCTGGTGCCCAGGGAATACTATTCTATTGAGTGTCAGTTTTCCCTTACTTCAAAGGTTGAAATGCATATTCATGTCTCCAATTAAAGGCCATTTTAAAACTACTAGAAACACCACTGGATACAGTTGGGATGCTGGTTGTAGACCCCCTGAGCATGGAATAAGAGAAAGGTACAGGAAGGCAAGCACTTGGCCAACTAGAGAGGAATTCCCAGGTATCCTGAAGGAAGTCCATGGTCAAGCTGACCATGAGAATTTCCTGTTAGAGCCTGACAGCCAGAAACTCCATGGTGCCTTCACTGAAAAGAGCTTGGCAATAAGGCAAGCGGCCATAGATAATTTACATGGACAGCTCTCTCCTGAAACCAATACTTTTTAAATTAACTTCTTACATTCAAAAATATGTCCTCTGTGTTGAAGGGGGGAGGAAAAAAGAATCATGTGTCTTGTTCTGCATCTTAAAGACAATAAAAGTAAAGCCCAGAGAGCCCCAGTGACATGTCCAAGGTCAAACACCAAGCCCTAGCCCAGCCCTAACGTTCTTCCCTTACACTACACCCTTCTGCCTCTGTGGTCAACAAATGCATGTGGGTCAGATGACAGTTAATTATGTTTATGGAACTCAGTTTATAAAAGCTCCATTAATAACTTTTTTCCACCAGAATTAATAATCCCACTCCCCACACATCCATATGGCTCTGTTCTAAGTGTGTGTTTCTGAATATCGGGCCTACCTGTACTTTCTTTCTCAGGACCATTTGCAAGACTCTCTTGAGATCTGAGGTCTCAATGAGCTTGGGAACGCTGACTGAATATAAACCCGACAAGATGCAACATAATCCCTGGGCAAAGACTTTGTCCACCATATACAAACACCCAAAGGATTGGAAAATTTGCTTGCCATCAATATTTAAAATCAAATCTTTTTCATTATCTCTTAAGATGTTTCCTTGATACCCTAGTTGTGGGCAAAAATTAATATTTAAATATGGCCCATCTACACTGAGGCATAGGGATTTTACACTTGGAGAGTAATAGTAATTACTGTGCTGGGCATGGATGTTCTCTTCTGGAACAGCTATGTGGCTTCCAGCTGACTGTGGCCCATAGCATATTAAGAAGGCTTGGTGCCTTGCCTGCCTATCTCTAAGATCTCTGTGAAAAATCAATAAAATATATTTTTAAAAAAGCATATATAGCCACATTCTAGATCAAGGACCACAACCTCTTGCTGTAGGACCTAGGGATTTTCAGTGGTCTCTCTATATTCCACTGTTTCCATCTTCAAAATCCCAGACTTCCTATAAAGGGATATAGGCTGGAATAATATTAATAAGTTATGAGTGCTCCTCCATTGAAATAAAGATGCCAGGTAGTTCATAGATACTACAATTACTGTATTATTAAATTATTAACGCTGATTGTCATATTAACAATAGAGATCATAATTACATGATCTTAGGTGAGACTGAAATGTCCTCAGGAAGGCATGTGGACACTAGTTTCTGGGTACATGGAGTTTTCTCTCCTTTAATCGCACACTCTCAGAGGTTTCACTTGCAGAATGTGCAGAAATATGACATAAAGCATAAAATTGTCCTTTAGTCAAGGCATGTTGGATCGGCAGTGAACAATTTACCATGACTAGACTGAACAACAAAGTGGAGAGGATCACAGATTTTTTTTTTTTAATCAAAATGCTATTTTCTGTACTGTTTGGGGGAAGGATTAGAGTTTGGGCTATTTGGGTGATATTTTTTGTATTTATCATAAATTTCAAGGGAAATCTGGGATGAGACCCCAACTGATCTAAGCAGGAGTTGTGACTTTTTAAACGATACCAGTGAAAAGGAATCCTTTGCTTAATGTGAGGGTCCCCTTGCGTGGCCAGGGTCTTGGCTCATCCAATATAATCTCCCTCCCTTGTCCTCTCCATGGAAGGCTTTGACATATAAATATAAACAACAGATATGCAAACCCACACAGACCAACACACAGATACACACACACACACACACACACACACTCCTATAACAACAAGGCAAAGGAGAGAAAAGGGGAGAAATAAGGAATAACATGTTGGTGCTGCTTAAACCTTATGACCAAACTAGACACAAACTTTGGGGTTGAAAATAAAATCATGCCTCGCTGTCTAACACTGAGGATACAGGGACTTCTATAATCCTGTAAGTATGTGGTCACTGGTGAAGGGAAGCAAAAACCTACTGTAACCATCAGATGCTCTGTTCTCGGAAGTTACAGAGTAATATGAAATTCTATAAAGTGTCTAAGATGGAAAAGCTACATCTCAATCTGCAGGCCTTCGCTAGAGACTGCCCATTCAAGAGGCATTGTATTACTAATGAATTGCCTTTTAACAAGTTATTATTGGAATCCTGGTTAATCTCATTTGGATTTTTGGTGTAACCTCAAAATCTACACATCAGCTGTTTTCCCCCGGCAACTCTGTGGCATGGAAAATAATTTCTAAACTTCTGTGAGCTTCTTCAAATTCTACCAAACAAATAAAAACAGACTCAGCTCTGGGAAATGGCTGCTAAAATACTACCGCTCTTCGTTTATGGCCAAGCCTCCTGGCACGGTCTGGATCAAGAAGAACCAGAATCCAGCCATCGAAGGGGTGTCCCCCCTGTTTTCACAGCCAGTTGGATGGGTTCCCACTCCATTTCTACCCTCTCTGCCAGGGTCCTTTGGCTCCAAAGAGAAAGGAAGAGAGAGCTAAGGGCTTGTGCTGGGCTGATTTATATTGTACTGAAGAGGTAAGGGAAATATAATAGGGGAAAACCCATTTTGGCTTTAGGGCTGTGCTAAGTTATGGGAAGCATGAAAGGTATGCAATTTATGTTCCCTATCTTCTGTTTAGGAGACTAATAAAGCAACCTTCCTTTGTGTATAAAAGAACAATTTTAGCCCCTGAGGCCTCTTCACCTGGGAAGTAACTCCTGGCTCTCTAAGAGCCTGGCCTTCCGGCTCCTCCAGACAGGGGCCAGTAGGCACACTCAGCAAGCACTCCCCAGGCAGTACAGGGGCATGGAGGGAGCCAGCACTAGCCTCCTGCTCTCTAGAATGGACACACTAAGGCCCTGAGGAGCAAAGGGGATGCGTCTTGCTGAGTGAAGAGAGGGTCTATTTCCCTTGCCCAAAACACTGACTTCCAGGGTTTCTCTGTCAGCCAACTGCCCGGTGGCTCTAGCTAATGCAGCTGTTATCCAAGGAAAGGGCACTCCGCCCACTCCCTCCCCACACCGCTTACCCAATAGAGCACGTCTGTCCAGCCCTCCATGGTGATGCACTGGAACACGGTGAGCATAGCAAAGGCAAAGTTATCGAAGTTGGTGATGCCTCCGTTGGGGCCAACCCAGCCGCTCCTACACTCCGTGCCGTTAACGATACACTGGCGTCCATTCCCTGAGAACGCACACGGCGCTGGGTCCTCTTCGGCTACGATATCTGCAGGCAGAGCAAGAGGGCTTCACCACCCAACCATGAGCACCAGGACACCCAGGCCGGAGGAGGCCGGGCACCCTTGCTACCTCCCATCTCTGCTGTCTCAGAATCCCACTTGGCCTTCAGGTCCGCGCCACACAGTGCCTCCTCTGTGGAATCTGCCATTTCCTGAGCTCACAGCACCTTTCTCTCCTGGGGCTCTCCCCCTGTGCTCATTGGCAGCACCTTTCTCAAGCCTGTATACAACGCCACTGATTCGCCTCGTGTTCTAATTTTGGGGGTCCCTCACCTTGCTTGCCAGGACACATTATATAGAAAATTGGGACCAAAACGGAGATAGATTTATTTTGAATCTAATTCACACTAGGAACTGGCTCAGTAAATTCACTGGTACATTTGGCTTTTTTTTTTCTTTTCACTCACATTTTGTTTTAGATTTTTTCTCAAAACCACAAAAGTTGTTTGGGAGGAAATAAAAAGTTGTGTTAGTGACCATTTTCATTACTCACCTGAGTCAGCAAAAAAACATGTTTTGTGCATTTTTCCAATAAAAAGTTCCAATCCTATAATAGCATAGATTATGATTACAAATAATACCAAAAGGGCTATGTGAAGGAGGGGAACCATGGCTTTTATAATGGAGTTCAGGACAACTTGTAAACCTAGGAGAGAGAGAAATAAGTTTGTGAGCCAGGAAGAAACTTCAGTGATGCACATATATATGGTGTCTGCTTTGCATATGACACACAGTAATAAAACTCAAAGTGATATCTCAAATCTCTTAACTATGATTAATCTGGATGTGAAATTAGTTAAAATGGAAACTTAAAGATCATCTCATCCAACTTGACAGATGAGGAAGGCCCAGAGAGGGGACTGTCCAATATCAAAGTTAGTCATTCATTCGTGCATTTGTTCATCCATTCAACGAAGTTTCTTGAACATCTACCACATGGCAAGCATCAGGTTGGTGCTTTTTGGGAGAAATGAGGGTGTATTGAATTAAGTGCCTTCTCTCAGAGAGCTTATATTCTAGGAGGAGACATATGAATGAAATGCAAATTAGAGGTAGCACACAAATGCTGTAGGAACATCAGTCCCAGTTAAACATCGTTTCTGAGTGGGGAGGAGAAAGAGGACTGGGTGGCAGCCTCCCTTCGGCAGGGCCTGGGTCTCAGGAGGGTGACTGCCTCCTCGGGTGGGCAAGGGAGAGGTACGCCAGGCAGAGGGGAGAGCGCACCAAGGCAGAGGTGAGCCAGCGCTGTAGGGGCTGGGGACGGGGAGTCTTGGCTGGTGAGAACAAGCAGAAAGGAATCCCAGGAAGGAAGAGCAGACTGCAGCTGGGTAGCTCTGGGCTTGAAGCTGGGCTACAGGACCATCTTTAGTCCATGAGCGAAAGGCAGCCTCTTTAGAAAGACAAATGGGGCAGCAGTAGAAAGGATCAGGGGAGACCAGACTCAGCAACTGAATTTGAGGGAGAAGATACCTGTAGAGGCAGTGTCATGGGGTAATCGTAGTCCCAGCCAAAAAAAAAAAAAAAAAAAAAAGCATGTCAAAAGGAGGTTTTCCTGGAATGAGGGAAAGAAGGGAGATGGTGAGAACAACCCAGAACCAGTGAATAGATCACGGCACAGCATGAAGAGGAAAGCACCTGCAGCGGGGCCCTGGGCTTGAGAGAGGAGGAAGGGACACGAAAGCCTGGAGGCTGTCTATGCAATAACTGTCAGAGCCATGGTACAGGAAGAGAGAGAGAATGGAGAGAGGGATGGTAGTGGGAGGAGGCAGAAGCCCGAGGGACAGTGATGGCCAGGAAATCAGAACTCACCCTAAAACGCGACTCCCACGTTTAATGTCCTACCTTCTTCCCGCCACCCGTGACCACAGCTACTGCTCTGCACAGTTCACTCTCCTCTTTATTCTCTTTCCCTTCCCCTCCCCTCTTCTTCCTCCCCACTGTCTCACCTCATTCAAACTGCCCTTTTCTAAAATCTTCTCACTCTTCCAGTACATACTCAAAGAATGAAGGAATGTAAGCTGAGATACTAGAATTAAGTTAGAAATCAGAACACATCACGTAGAGAGGAGAATGGTTATCAGCAATGATAAGAAAGATGGGGAAGAGGTGGGGGACTGGTTGGGAGGGAAGACTGATCAGAGGATTTCAGACTCACAAAGAGCCCATCTTTCTAAGACCCTCATTATTATCCAAATCCTAAGTACTGCCTTTGGATGTTTAAATGCTCAAATGGTTTCTTGTGGGGGGAAAAATGATCATTAAGATGATTGTTAATGTTTTTACCTTCTAGAAAGAACAGATGGGGAAAGAAAACATCTGCTTTAATCTACTTGGATAGGGTTTGTTGTTGTTGTTGTTTATTTTTTAGATGTGAAGAGGACATCCCAAATCACCATTCAGCAGTTAGCTCTTCTCAATTCCATGGCAGTGAGCTACGAGTTTCATGAGTATGTTAATATTTAAGGTCCTACTGTATTTCAGATCAGCCACATTTGGGAGATGAGGTTGTATCTCAATGTGAACTGTACACTTTTATGTGACATTAAGCTCCTTTGTCTACTGTCGATGTGTACAGATCTCACGGGAGCTCTGATCACAGAGGCAGAGGGGTGACGTGGAAAGAGCACCAGGAACTGGGAGGCTGTGGGTCTGGCCTTGTTGGCCACTCACCGGCTACAGGAACCTGAACAAGTCGCTGCCCCTTGGCAGGCCCCGGCTTCCTCGGGGAAAGGTGCTGTTGGGGGGATGCTCTCTAGGGATCTTTCCCACTCGGACTGTCTGGGATTCGGATGAACACTTATCAGTTAACTGCGTGTGGGTGGCCAAGGGCTCCGCAGATGTCTGCACTACTCTCTTCTGAAACATGCATTGTTTTACCTTCCACTGAACAAATACATTTACACACACACACACACACACACACACACACACAGAATCCTGTCTGATAGGACAGTCTCAATTCTCTTTAGACATGACTGGGCGTTTCCCAGGTGAGTGTAAGCAGCCACCCTCTCCCAGGCACCTTTAACCATCTCAAATACTTGAGAAGTCACTGGACCACAGATGCCAACCAGCATGGGCAACAGCATGACCCAGACCCCCAACCCCTCTCCCAAAGCCCATTGGGTCTGACGAGAGGCTTGGGGGTTCCCTCCAGGGCAGTTAAAACACGGCTGACACATTCTCACACAAGACTCAAAGCCCGTGTCTCCCTGCCAACCCCCAGGAGAACGTGATGCAGACCTTGGTCAAGTTTCAAAGTAGAGTTTTTTGGGAGAAAGGAAAAAACACAGTTTAGCACTGATTCGTGAGAGGTGGTGGGAGCACTGGACCAGTCATTCAGTGACAAGCTCACGAGGCAAGGGACCCAGACCTGGCCGGATAAGGGCCGAGTTCTCACCGCCGTGCACGCAAGCCGCAGCAGCAGCACGCAGGCAGGCTCCCTGCCGTCTGCTGGGGGGGGGGGGGGGGGGGGGTGGGGAGGCTAGAGGGAGTGTCGTGGTTACTTTGAAATTAGATTAAGCTGTAACAACTACATCTGAAAGAACTGTGTTTGCTCACTGAACTTCTCGTGTAACCACGTTCCACCCTAACAGAGCCAGGCATTTCCAAGGTATTCCTATTTTTCTCAACTGCTTCCAGACAGTTCTGTGGTTTTGACTTGCGCTGATCTTTTTTCAATGAAAATAAATGAACCATCTGGAAAAACAAGTACACACAAAACACCACTTCCTACATTTTAAGATGTTAAATTTGGAAATGGCTTTTTCTTCCAGAGAATGTCTGGTGTGTTCTGAGCACCAACAGGTTTCATAAAAACTCACAGAGAGGTGCTGGAGGAGCAAGACCGTGGCCTGTGCCCTCTGATGGCTTCCCAAGGTGGACACAGGCACGGCCTGCAGGCCCAGCCCTCCCTCCCACCCCAGTCCTGGGAAGGGTGCTAGGACCCCTACCCTCTGAGGTCCCCAGCAGGGGGTGTCCCATTAGGGACAGAGCCCAGGGAGGCACACCTCACACCCTTATGGCAGCAGCGGCCTGCGGCTCCCGGCCAGGGCACCGGCAGGACATCTGTTCCCACTCAGGTGGCACTCAGCCGGGCCTGGTTGGCAGCAAGCAGCACACGAGGGCCTGGCACGGACAGGAGGGCACGAAAGCATTCACCTCTTCCCCAGAGCAGGACCCGCACAGCCCCTCATGGTTGTGAGCCAAGTTTTTGGAAGTCCAGCCCCCGTCACTCCTCACACTGAAAAGGGGCCCGAGTGGAGCCCTGGATAAGCCACCACTTTCAGAGAAGTGCCAGCCAGGGTGCTGTCGCAGAAGGAAACCAGCCTTGAAACAGGCCTCATGCCACCACTTACTCCGTCTCCTCTTTTACAAAAATCGGACGGCACCCGGCTGCCAGCCCCTCTCGGGGCCATCACGGGATCCAAGGACGACGAGAGCCGAAGCGCATCGCAAACCGAGAAGGCCTCGGGGCGCCGGCAGAGCCTGGGCCGCCCACCGCAACTCACCTGCGGCCCTCGGCTCACACTCCCGAGGCCCCCCCAGAAGGAAAAATCCACAAAACCCGGCTTTAGGAAGCAAAGCGAGCTTACTGGGCACTCCTGATACTAGTCGAAGCGGCCGTAACACTCGAAAGGCGCGGAGGGCTTTGACATCGAAGCCTCCTGACTTGCCACCAGAGTGGTTACCGCCTTCTGTTTCTTTGGTTAATTGTTCCAAAATTACACTAAACAATCTGAAAGGAGAAGAGAGGGAGAAGCGTTAAGAGTCTGTCACCCGGGGAAGCAAAACAGGATGATAGCAGCAGTTATTTCTGAACAAGTAGTTATAATTCAAATAACAAGTAGTTATTTCTAATTCTGCGTGGCTGCTGCCTTGAATAAAGGGAACGCGAGGCCAAGGCGGGAACCGGGCTGGGACTCCGGAAGGTGACCCCTGTGTCTGACACGATTTGGGTCAGGGACTGATCTCCTGCTTCTCTGCCTCAAGAAAGTCCACCAGCATGGCAGAGGGCTCACTGGGCGCCACCGATGACAAACGGAATTGCCCCGACAGGAATAACAATGATCATGACCATTTCTGAGCCCTCACCAGGTGCTGGCTACTTAACGAATATCATCTCATCAATCCTCACAAAACGTTCTGCAGGAGCAATTATTACTAATCCCGTTCTACAGCTGAGGAAACAAACTCCCTAGGGACAAGGGATGTGCCCAAGGTCACAAAGCCAATGGCAGAACCAGCGTATGGATCCAGGTACGTTGGCCCCAGGAGGAGGACGTAGGTTCCACAGGGCAGGGAGTTTTAGCCTGTGCTGTTCATTTGTTCACTGAGTCTCTTCTAGCAAATAGTTCTTGATACGTAAGGGGTGTTCACAAAAAAATATTTGATGGATAATTCAGTGTACGAATATTGACTTCGAAGTCCCACATCTTCATCGAAATGCTTGCCATCCACCACCTCCACCCTCAGAGGGATGTGTGCAGAATGATGCAAACCAGAGGCTGGGGGGCTGTGCAAAGGCCAAACGCAGCAACCTGAGTCATGAAGACCAGCGTTTTTTTGAAATGTGAACAACACTGCATCTGGCAGCCGCGACCAATTTTTTCCTTCTCTCCGAAGGTTTCTCGGATAGAGCTGTTTCCAAGCGATCTGCTCACTTGACAGTTCCTTTTGCTCTTTCAAATAAACATTTACTCCTTGGAATTGCGGCTTGTTTTTTTCAGGATAAATATAAATTTGCCTATTTCAAATAGAATCAGCTCCGGCCAATCAGATTGTGGGAACGACTGGCCCAGCAACAAAGGAAAGGTTTCTAAAGTTTAATTAGCAGCCAAAGCAGAAACTCGGCCCCCACTGACACGCCTCTGGATGGCCAAGACACCGCGTCCATAAAGCACAGGGTGGTCTGAAGTGCAGCCCTGACCAGGCACGGACATGCCATTCCGGGGCATGTAAAGTGCAGTCGTTTGTTTTAATAACACTGCAGCAGTTAGCAATGAGCCCGGGCGGGTGAGGGGGCAACTGAGTCAGTCTCTACCTTTTCAAAGCTTCAGATGACAGGTTTCTCTCATTAGCAACGTGTTTTAATGACCATAAACCCCTGCGGCAAGGCTAAAGTTCAAAGTCGCCCTCCAAATAAGTTTATAGCTTGACAAAAAACAAAGGGGAAGAAAGAAAACCTCAAACTTTTCTGAAATGTGGCAGCCTCAGAAATTTTCAGCCCAAAGAGTTAGGCAAGTAATTTATGCAGGTAGTGACTTAAAACTGCTTTTAAGTACCAGTTTTGCAATGTACACTCTGTGGTCCTTTATCCCGTTCTTCAGCAATGTCCTTGAAGACAGGTGACTAATGTCTCCCTCCCACTACAGAGGAAGTGGGGTCTCAGAGGGAAGCTGGCTGCTGCTTCCAGACAGCCATGAGTGGCCGTGCTCAGGGTCTGGGGCTGGCTTCCTTTCTGTGAGCCGGGAGGCATTAAAGCAAGCCCCTCGCCTTCCCTGGGGTTCAGTCTCCTCTGGGTAAAATGAGAAAATGAGATTACATGACCCAGAGCCCCACACCTTCCTATCCTAATATACTGTGATTCTACTCCCTTCAACACCACCTCCAACCAAAAAAAAAAAAATTTTTTTTAAATGTACCATGTGCCTGAAGAGATAAGGACATGAGGAGAAAGTATTTGATATTAGATTATTATTAAACATTGACCCCAAGCTCTGGCCTGTGTGGCTAAGTTGGTTGAGTGCCATCCCATGCACCAAAAGGTCCCCCATTCTGTTCTTGGTCAGGGGACATGCCTGGGTTGTGGGCTTGATCCCTAGTAGGTGGCATGCAGGAGGCAGCGATTGATGTTTCTCTCACATCTGGATGTATCCCCCCCCTTCCCCAACCCCCATCTCCTTCTCTGTCTAAAAATCAATTTAAAAATATATTTTTTAAATAATTTACCCCAAGACAGGAGAAAAAAGGCAAGCAGCTACCCAACCTGACTCAAGTCAGAAGCACCAGAATGAGTACTGCCCATCCTTCTTCACAAAACTCAAATGAAGAGCCCGAATGCTCTGTTCATGGAAAAATCCGAGGTGCGGAGAACAGCGGCTGAGATCAAACGTTCCTCCACAGGGCACAGGATCAGCGCTGGTAGGCCCACCGAGTCCTCCGGGGTCACATTTTAGACCTGTCAATTGCTTTCCTAATGTCCCTGTTATAGGAATCTTAACAAAAGCAGGTCATGGCTGACTTGGAATGGAAAATCCATTGGATTGAGATACAGTTCGTAGTTGGGAACTTTAAAAGAGTAGGAATTTGATCTCAGTGAAGACGTCATTTAATTTTTTACCCCCTTTTAACTTTTCTTCCACTCTTTGACTACAATTTAGTGCATATTTTAGAAGAATAATGTAATGTTCTAAAGTTTTTAATATTTAACGGGGGGGAAAACAACCAAGTCCAGTTCTAGTATTTTAACTTCCTTGAATTTTTACTTTTTCAAAAACAATGTTATAACTACTAATTTATAATTCATTTTAAGCATATAATGACATGTTTTGACAAAAGTATAAGCAAGCCTGGGGTAGTCTTCCTCCCTCCAAGCACAGCCTTGAGTAGCCACGGGTTGGCTGATTATCAGTTGGGACTTTTTCCCTCTTCTTGAATCTTATCTGAACAGAATCATACAGCTTGTTCTTTTTTGTTTATCTTCTTTTGCTCACCATGTTTTTGAGAGTCATCCAAGTTGTTACATTTATCAGCAGTTCATTTCTTTTTATTGTTGAGTGATACCACAATGACTTACCCATTCACCTGTTGAGAGATATTTGGGTTGTTTCCACCACCTTTTCTTTATTATGAAATAAAGTCTCTTTGTGAACATGTATTTTCCCTCATCTTGGCTAAAGGTCTACTAATAATACTGGTAATGTGGTCATATGGTAAGTATCTGATTAATATTATAAGAAATTGGCAAGCTTTTCCAAAATGATTGTGCCATTTTCTATTCCTACAAGTATTGTATGAGAGTTTCAGTTGCTCCAATTCTTGGTTAACATTTTGGTAGTGTCCACCTTTTTATATTCAGTAATACCAGTAGGTATGAAAACGCTGTCCTTGTGGCTTTAATTTGAATTTCTCTAATTATTAATGATGAACATCTTTTCAAATGCTTGGTGACCATTTACATATCTTCTTTTGTGAAGATCTGTTCAATTTTTTTGCCCTGTTAGCTATACCTCATTAGGCACATATATATTTAGGATTATTACATCTTCTGGATTAAATGACAACCTTTATTATTATGAAATTTCTCTTGTTATTCTTGATAATATTCCTTGTTTTTAAGTCTACTTTGTTGGATATTCATATAGCCATTCAGATTTTTCTTAATTTTTTCATCGCATGTATTTTCCTGTCCTTTTACTTTCAGATTGTCTGTGTCTTTATATTTAAAGTAGTTTTTTATAGACACTGTAAAGTAGGGATTTTTTAACATATAAAATTTGATAAACTCTGGGTTTTAATAAGGGTTTATAAATCTGGGTTTAAATATACCATCTTATTTCTTTTCTATTGCTCTGTTCATTGTTAGTTTTTCCTTCTCTGTCTTTTTTGGGTTGAGCTTTTAAAATACAAACAAACAAACAAAATTTAATCTCCTCCAATACAGGCCTGTTAGCTATACCTCATTATTTTTCTAGTGGCTCCTTTAGAACAATTGTCAGGAAAAAAAAAAAAACTTTTCAAAAGGGCCAGAGAGTACCCCTTATAGGATTTGCAGACCATAGAGTCTCCATCATAACTACTCAACTTTGCCATCCTAATACCAAATAGCCATAGACATGAATGAATGTGACTGTCTTCCAATAAAATTTTATCTGTTAAAGCAGACAGCAAGACACTTGTCAACGTGGGGAAAGGGAAGGATGGGCTGAAGTTTGCTGGCACATACCCCAGGATTTACACAATATATCTTTAACTTATCGCAGTCTACCTTTAATTAATATGTTGTCACTTCACCTACCATACAAGCACTTTGCAGTAGTGTATGGCTTTTCCCTTGTTCCTGCCCTTTGTACTATTATTATGTATTTTACTTTTATAAGAACTATAAACTCCATAATATGTTATTGTTTTTGCTTTGAATAATAAATTTCAAAGAGATTTTAAAATGAGAAATGTTTTACTATTATCTAGATATTTACCCTTTCTGACATTCTTTATTCCTTTTTTGTAGATCCACATTTCTATCTGGTGTCATTTTCCTTCAGTGTGAAGATATTCCCTTAACGTCTGTTGAGATGCAGATCTACTGGTGATGAATTCTCAGCATTGGTTTTTCTGAAAAAGTTCTGGGTTTTTTTACTTCTATTTGGAGATCTCTTCACTGAATAAAAAAAAAAAAAATAGGTTCCCTTACACTTGAAAGATCTCACTTTAGTGCTTTCTGGCTTGCACAGTTGCTTACAAAAAGTCTGTAGCATCTCTTATCTCTGATTGCTTTTAAGATTTCCTCTTTGGTTTTGAGCAATTCAATTATGATTATAAAATGCCTTCATGTAGCTTTTTTCATGCTTATCTTGCTTGAATTTCTTGGATTTTTAATTTTTTTTATCACATTTAGAAAAGTTGGAGCCATTCCTTAAAATAGTTTTTGCTGTCTCCCTCTATCTCCTCTCTTCTGGGATGCCAATATGAGTATCTGTATGCTAAAGCACTTGATATTGTCCCATGAGTCACCAGGTGCATTCATATTTGTATACAGCATTACTCTTTGTGTTACTAAAATGTCTTCATGATCCTAGATATTTTTTTCTTCTATTGTGTCCATCCTGCTGTTAAGCCAATCCAGAGAATTTTCACTTCAGATATTTGTCAGCTCTCGAAATCCCATTTGTGTGTTTTTTATATTGTCCCTATTTCATTACTGTAGTCATTCATTCCTTTAAATCCATAAGGCATATTTATAATAGCTATTTTTAAAGTACTGTAAAATAATTCTCTTCTAATTCCATCATCTGTCATTTCCAGGTCTGTTTCTATTGAAGGAATTTCCTCCTGGTTATGGGCCACATTTCTTCAGATGCCTGGGGATATCTGGCTGGAGGCTGGACACATTGTAAAATGTCTGAATTTTGTTGTCTTCTTTTAAAGAGTGTGGCGTTTTCTTTGACGGGCAGTTAGGTTACTTGCATATCAGTTTTCTCCTTTTCAGGCTTCTTTCCAAATTTTATCAGTAAGAGTTTCAGGTGGTTCTTACTCTGCAGCAGAGGCTGGCAAATGTATTTTGTAAAGGGCCAGAGAGCAAACAGAGGGTGTGGCAAAAGTCGGTTTACAGTTGTTCATATAAAAAATACAATAATTAATAACACAAGAATAAACTCTGTGTTTCAAATATTCACAACTGCAAACCGACTTTTTCCCCACTCTGTATTTTAGACATTGTGATCTAAACTACTCAATTCTACTCTGTGAATATATGACACTGTTACAATAAAACCATATTTACAAACATCAGTGACAGGCTGGATTTGGCCTATTGGCCATAGTCAGTCAACCCCTGCCTGAAGCTAGTTTATCCCCAATACTAATGTCCCTCTGGAGTCTCTACTGACATTCCAGGATGTTCAATGACATCTTTCCACACTGGTTGGAGTTCCCTAACAGTGTTCTTTGCCTGGCCTCACGGAATCTCACCCCATTAATTGTAGCTGAGCATTCAGTCAAAACACAAGAGGACCCCAAGGCATATATAGAGAGCTCTTTCTCTGAATAGCTCCCTCCCCTTCTACACTTTGCCTCTCAAATTTCAGCCACCTCAGCTTCCCTGACCTCTTGTTTCTGTCTCAAGGTAACAAGACCACCACACTGTACCTGGTTCCCTCTCTGTGCTGTACTACGATCTGAAAAATGTCTCTCCAGGCAGAAAGCCAAGGTGACTGTAGGGCAGCGACAAAGAAATAGAGCTGAAGCTCTCCATCCTCTAGCTGAACACCAAGTCTAAGGTCAGGAGAGGCACAGCAAGATTATTCCAGAATCAAGACACCTGCAAGGGTCTTGCTAGCCAATCCTGTTAGAGTTCACCAAATACAGGAAGGTATGATACATATCTATCACCTATTCATTTTAGCTGCACTACCTTGGCTGTCGTACATTAGATGCCAATATACTATGCTGAGTTTTGCAAAAGCTAACTTTTTCACCATAAGTCTAATTATCCCACTGGGCCGACATTGCGGATCCCATTTTAACCTCAAAGGTTTGAAATTAGAGCTTCGAAAATTTCCCCTCTCCCCCAATATCCAACTAGATTAGTCTCCCACAAAAAGCCAAAGAATTCATGATAAAAGAATAATCCAAGCCGAAGCCGGTTTGGCTCAGTGGTAGAGCATCGGGTCTGCAGACTGAAGGGTCCTGGGTTTGATTCCGACCAAGGGCATGTACATTGGTTGCGGGCACATCCTCAGTAGGGGGTGTGCAAGAGGCAGCTGGTTGATGTTTCTCTCTCATCAACGTTTCTAGCTCTCTATCTCTCTCCCTTCCTCTCTGTAAAAAATCAATAATGTATTTTAAAAAAAGAATAATCCAAAAGATAAATTATCTTGCTCAACTATAAAAGGTAACTGAACAAGTCATAGAGATGAAAACAGAGAGGTCATTTAACAATCTATCTCTGTAAGGCCAAATGTAATTTTAGGAGCAACCCATTTTGTAGCCGCGTAGTGAAGACCCAGCAATGGGGTATGGTTTCTTTTTCCGTGTGGGTATTTGGTCCAAAGATCCAGCATTCCTTTAACACTGATTCATTTTTCTCTTGCTGGCAACATTTCCAGGTGTGGAAGGACAAGAATAACACAGGCCAGTGGTTTTCACTTCACCAATTTTCCTTTAAATAAATCTGTTGGTGTCTTCTTCCTGTGACAGGATTTCGGGATAATGCCTGCCTCTGCATTTTCTGGCTTATTTCATTTCATGCCAGATATCTGATATTATTCAGACACTTGTTTTGTTATTTAAAATGGGATAGTAGCATGCCAAAGTTTTTTCCCCCCCACAAGTCAGAAGAATTAATAGCTTTGTTCAAGGAATGTTAAATAGCAGAGTATCTCACTGCTATAAGGATTTATTACTTTTTTACTATTCCGATTTTTTTTTTAACTTAACAGGGTGCTAAATATAAGAGCTCTACACATTTGACTCAGATCATCAGTAGGGCTGGCCTATTTGTGGAAGCCAGAGGCCCTGTAAGATGAACCCTCTCACATCAGGAGCTTATACTTCCTGCTATAGCCATTTCTGAAAGCACGAGTAAAAACCGTGAGAGATTTTTCTTTCTTGCTGTGTGTGTGTGTGTGTGTGTGTGTGTGTGTGTGTGTGTGCGCGTCCTTACCTGAGGATATTTTTCCATTGAAGGGAGGGGAAAGAGATGAGAGAGAAACATCGATGTCAGAGACACATTGATGGGTTGCCTCCTGCAATGCGCCCTGACCAGGGCTGGAAATCAAAGTTGCAACCCAGGAATGTGCCCTTAACTAGGAATGGAACCCTCAACCCTTTGGTGCATGGACCAATGCTATGACCACTAAACCACACCAGTCAGGGCAAAGCCATAAGAGCATTTCAAACCAGTTCTGCCTGGAGATTGACAGCAGTGTCACCAGTCTTCAAAGAGCACCTGCCAGGTCTGGCTGCAATCACTGGCACAGAGGAGTAACCTTATTTCCTCAAAAGACGCAGTTCTTCTGTTACTCCCACCTCCCATTCTCCAAACAAACATTTCCCCCCCAAAATAAAAGGGACTTACCCTACTATTACTATAACAAAATCCAGTAAATTCCATCCATTCCTAACATAAGCATTAGGATGTAGCAATAATCCATAAGCTATAATCTTCAAAAATGTCTCGATTGTAAAAATAATCAGGAAGGCATATTCTACTTTTTCCTGTGAAGAAAAACAAAGACAAGGGGGGCGGGGGGAGAAGAAGGAGAAAAGGATTTTAAAAATACAGATTAAAATATTAGCATCAATTTCCAAGCATTTTTCCCCCAAGTCAAATTTTCATTACGAGACATGGAACCATTAACACCGCACCTGGGCCAGGAAGGCATTTTCCCTCAAACACTGAATGCCTCATAAGCAGCTAAGTATAACCCTCTCTCACTGGGGGCTGCATGACTGCATTCTGCCACCTGCCCTGATGCGTGTGCCATGAGGCTGTGAGGACATAGACATGCTTGCTATTTGCACACATTTGCAAAACGCAGCATGCTTTCCTTCTGAGGCTGCCAAACCGGGCCCAGAAAAGCATGAGGGTGCAGCAACGACTCCAAGGGCAGCTTTGAACAAAACGTCCTGTGGAAGAGAGGAAGATGTGTCTGCTTTGACCCTCTCTTAATCTTGGGTGTACATCAGGGTCAGCTTTATCAATGAGCAGCAAGGTGACCTTGGCAAAGCCCCATCTCTCCTCTGGACCTAAGTTTTCTCATCCACATGCACAGCCATGGGGGTGAATTCAGGACGGAAAGGCCACAGTCTGTTTATTGGCATGCCCCCTTTCTCGGATGACCCTGCTGAGTGCTAAGTGATCACAATGCAAGTTCCCAGGCCAGGCTCAACCTTCTCTTCTCAGCACGATTGCCACATGATTGCCATAGACCTCTGAGACTCCATCCTTGGGCTCCATGACTGTTAGAACCTTTTCCCAGTTCCAACTCCTGCATCTCCACGAGTATAGAAAACACACCCATCGGCCTAAAAATGTTGCCTTTTCCCTCTTTTATAAAGGTTTTCTTTATATAACTTCAGCTTTCCTAGAAATAGGGGCCAACCGAGATGTGTGTGATTCATTTTACAAGAGGCATTCTCTGGTAAATGGTAACTAACTGAAAAATCCTCAGGAAAGAAACTCTTCCATATGGGCCATAACGTCCTCTACTGTGAATTCTGCGCTGCGGGACCTGAGGAAAGTCACCAAGGTCAGGACAATGAAGCCAGGAATTCACTAATTAAGATGCCTCATGCACGAGGTCAAGTCAGCCTGGCCCAGGAAACACTTAGTGAGCACCTCTTCCTCTTGGTGGCCCCATACCCGGAGCCAGGTTAAAAAAAAAAGTCTCCTCTGTGGTCTCCAGCCTCAAAAGGCTTAGCCTGGGAGAGAGGAGACCCACAGGGGGGCAGTTTCTAACATGCACACAGAAACAATCCCAAAAGAGGTAAGTGACAAAGAGCAAGTCTGCATCATTAGCCCTCTGATAAGGCCGAAGGGTCCATCCACTTCTCCCCTGTAAGACCTCTGCTTTGTCATAGGTGCATGACTGTGCTTTGGCTCAGCCACCCTGGGCTCGAGCCATCTGCCACCAGTGCTACCCCTCTTTGCCGGCCAGCTCCAGTCCCCAGCTGAACCTCTGCGCGTCTTCTCATGGCATCCTTCCTCTTTGGCACCAGGGGAACCATCCAACCACCACAGTACCCCCCCACTTCACCCCCCACTCCCGACTCCCCACTGGTTCTGCCAGAAACCAGTTTACCAGTTTATCTTCCTTCCAGGTCCCTGCCATTCCTATCCTGCCCTCAGAGTGCCCTTGATCCTCAGCACACCGTCATGGCAGCCTAATCAATTCTTTTGTGCAGTGAGTTCGCCAGAGTCAGTGTGTCTTCCATTTTAAAAGCCTAGTTCAACATATTATACATCCCTATGTTCGCTGCAGCATTATTTACAACAGCCAAGGTATAGAAGCAACCTCGGTGTCCATCGATAGATGAATGGACAAAGAAGATGTGGTAGACATATACACAGTGGAATGTTACTCAGCAATAAAACAGAATGAAATCTTGCCACCTGCGACAACATGGATGGACCTAGAGAGTATTATGGCAAGTATTATGTCAAATCAAACAGAGAAAGACAAATACCTATGATTTCACTTACATGTCGAATCTAAAAAGAATAAACAAAAACAGACTCATCAGAACAGAGGAGAAAGGTAAAGGGGGGATAAATGATGATGGGAGGAAACTTGACTTGGGGGTGATGAACACACAAACAATATACAGATGATGTATTATAGAATTGTACCCCTGAAACTTATGTAATTTTATTAACAAATGTCACCTCAGTAAATACAATAAAAAGAAAATAAATTTAAATGGTAAAAAATAGAGAACAAACTGATAGTTGCCAGAGGGGATGGAGACAGGGGGGTGGGAGGAAAAGGTGAAGGGTAGTAAGAGGTATGAGCTTCCAGTTGTAACATAAATATGCTGCAATATGTAATATACAGCACGGGGAATGTAGTCAATAATATTGTAATAACTTTGCCTGGTGACAGAAGGGTACTATGCTTACAAGGGTGATCACAGTGTAAAGTATATAAATGTCAATTCGCTATGATGTACATCTGAAACTAATATAATGTTGTATGCCAATTATACTTAAATAAAAAATTTTTTTTAAAAAAAACATTTTTTTAAAGCCTAGCTCTTCCTCAGACTCCAGACCCATGCTTCCTCCAGACCTTCCAAAAAAAAAAAAAAAAAAAGTAGGCCCTGTCCTGGGGTTCCCTCATCCCATGCACCCCAACCCCTCCTCCAGGCAGTGGAGAACTTGCTTGGCCATGACCTCCTCCCCCAGACCAGGCTGAGGTGAGCAGGTTGCCAAATGCTCCCAGAGCAGCAGCAGGCACGCCCCCTCCCTGCCACACACAGACCTCCAAGGCCGCTGGTTCCTCTCCATTCTCCCTGCAACCTCCCATGCACACCCGCTCCTCTTCCTGAGCACTGCCACGTCCCCCAGCGGTGCTGCCACGGGAGGGGCATTCACACCCCTGTGGGCGTTCTGAGGGACAGGGGCCCACTTCGCTATTGGGTGAAGAGGAGACATCGGGAGGGCTCCCGTGAGGCAGTGGCGTTAACTTTGAGAGCTAAAAGGAAGAGCTATTCTGTTGTTTTAACCAGAAGCAACAGTCCCTGAAAATAGCAATCCACGGTACTTAAATTAGCCCCTGACCACCAAATGTGGACTGTCAATATGTTTTGGAGACTTGGAGTTCTAAGGGAACAGGGTAAGCTGAAAACAGCATGCTGATTTTACAATTTCGCTCCCCCTTTTTATCCCTTCTGCTTTATTTACTAGCACATAGAGAGAAGTCAGCCCCCTATGAGGCCAGACTGGGGGAGGAAGCTTTTGCTGCCATCAATATTCATAGCAGTTACATGCCTACGTCAACACAGTGCTATGCTTCAGAGCAGAAAAACAAGGCAAGGAACAGAGAGTACACCTACCAACACTGCTTGTTTTTCCTCTCGGGCTTTCATTTATAAGTAATTCAGCCACAATAATGCACGGCCCATTAGTATAACTGAATTGTTTAGGGCTCTTTTATCCCCCTCTCTTGTCCTCTTCTCTCTCCTTTTTAAAGAATTGGGTTTCTCTTTTCAGAATCCTCAGTGCATTACTACATGGAACTGACTATAAGAAATACAACTTGCTTTAATATGAAGCTTTATCACAGTGGCGCTGCCATAAGCCAACTCAACATCAGCCTGGAGAGCAAGGCAGGCTCTCTGCCTAGAAGCCAGTGTCATCCTGTCCCCAGTCCTGCTGTTAAACAGGACTCCTATGCAACAAATACCCCTCCACGGCAAGCAAAGGTCGAGTAAAAAACATCTTGCAAAGCAACAATTATGGGAATAGGAGGTCATTTACTACACACACACACACACACACACACACACAAAGTTGCTCATTTGAGGAAAACATGTTGAGTTAGTCATGTGAAAAAGGAACCCTGATTCTTAACTGGGCGAGATGGGAGTGGGCACGGAGCTGAGGGGCCGGTGAGGTCTGTGGAGAAGGCTGGAGTCTATCTAGGATGGAGGAGAGCACGGCGGAAGCAAAAGCAGCAAGGGTGAAGGAACGGGCTGAAAGAGGCAGGCAAGAAGCCTCCAGTAGTGGGCATGAACCGAGGTGTCCCAGGGCTGGGCTTCCTCTTAAAGTCCTATCCCAGGCTAAACAGAGAGAGTAAATGATCCCTGCACCTCAATGTCTCTGTGTTTGCAGGCAGAGTCACGTGACAGGGGATCCTGGGTGGGCAGGGCCAGTCAAACCACCTTTTAAGAAACCACCAGCCCGGCCAGTGTGGCTCAGTTGGTTGAACATCATCCCATGCACCAGGAGGTCGCTGGTATTATTCCCAGTCAGGGCACATGCCCGTGTTGCAGGCTCCATTCCCGATAGGGAGTGTGTAGGAGGCAGCTGCAGCCTATCGATGTCTCTCTCATTGTTGTTTCTATCTCTCTCTCCCTCCTACTTCCTCTCTCTGAAAACCAATAAAAACATATTTTCTTAAAAATCTAGTAGATAATGATAATTTTAAAAAGAAACCACCAGTTCCTCTTAATCAGAGACCAATCTATCTCCCCTACTGAGATCTCGACCCACCAAAGAAATAAAGGCTCCAAATTTAACTCTGAAACCTGAGTTATTTCCTTTAAACACAGAAGTTTCACCAATCAGGAGAGGCTCTACCAACAGTCTCTAAACACTTACCTCTACCCAGAACCTTGAGAAGCAGAAACTGCAATTGTCCAGGAGTGGGAGGGGCCAGGACCCTCAACAGGGCTGCACTGGTACTTATTTGATCCAGGCTGATGCTTTCCCGCCTCCATGCCTCTGCCCACCCTGCTTGCCCCACACAGTGTGCCTCCCCCAATATATGGAGCCCCACCCCCTCTCAGTGAGCACACGACAATGACACAGGCCTACAACAAGCCCAGCACTGCTGACTGGAATGAATGCCCAGCTCGGAGTCACACATAATATCCGCTTTCTACTAGCCCAACTGAGGTCTACTTCCCATCCCCCCTTTCTAGAATGGTTTCCCCCATCCTGCTTTCACTGGGCCAAGTTCTACTCTTCCTTCAAGGCTCAGCTTAAATGACAC